AGTCTGATGACAATCTTATTTTCTTTCTCTTCTAGAAGAGTCTTTTTATCTATATTCCCAAATAATTATTAATTGTTATTGAAGTCCAAAAGGTTTATTAGAATATATCTCAGTGTTGGCTATTCTGAATTGATTTTCCCACATAGTGGAGTGCCTTTTTCAATACAGAGTAAATTTTGTGGGTTTTTTTTCCTTTTAAATTATGAAAGTTATCTTGAATTAAAGTATTTATTACTTATTCTGTCCCATAGATTTGGCTTTCTGCTTTGGGACTCCTATTATGTTTGTGTTTGATCTTCTTTGCCTGTCTTTTGTATTTTAAAATCTCTTTTTCATTTCTTTTTGATTTAAAAATTTCTCCCCTTTTTATCTTCTCTTTCTTTTTAAAAAATGTTTATTTTTGAAAGAGAGAGAACACAAGAAGGGGAGGGGCAGAGAGAGAGGGAGAGAGAGAATCTCAAGCAGGCTCCATGCTGCCAGAGCAGAGCCTGACATGGGGCTTGAACCCATGAACTGTGAGATCATGACCTGAGCTGAAATCAAGTGTCAGACACTCAACCAACTGAGCCACCCAGGTGCCCCATCTTTTAAAAAAAACTTTTAATGTTTATTTACTTTGAGAGAGAGAGAGAGGGAGAGAAAGAGAGAGAGAGAGAGAGAGAGAGAGAGAGAGAGAGAATGAGCAAGTGGGGAGAGGCAGAGAGGGGAGAGAAAAATATCAAGCAGGTTCCACACTGTCAGTGCAGAGCCTGATGCGAGGCTCCATCCCACAAACCGTGAGATCATGATCTGAGCTGAAATTGAGTCAGATGCTTAACCAAATGAGCCACCCAGGTGACCCTCATCTTCTCTTTCTTTTAAGGAACCTCTGTAGGCATTTGCCCTGTGTTTGTGCTTAGCCTTCATTTCAGGGAATTTTTTCTTTTATGTTTTATTCTTTCTTGAGTTCTATAATTTTGTTTTTTAAGTCATCTTTTCTAGTCTCTTCATTTGCAGTTTTTCTAATTCTGATGTATGCTGTCCCTTCGTTGCTTCTATAACTCTTTTAATTTATTTTGGCACATTTTGATATATTAAGTTGCCATTTACATCTGCTTTGTAGGCTCATCTTTTTAGCATGCCTCCATGGATCATTATGCTGCTCCTTATTATCTTTTTTTCTTATAACAATTCTGTATGGGATATGACTTCAACATGTTTTATTATCCATGGTAAAGCAAGATGAATTTTCCTGTACTTTTAGGCTGGAAGGCAGGTCAAAATAGCTTTTATTACTTCATAGCTCTTGAATTCCTTCTGCTGTTTTCACAAAATGATTGGAAAAATATATGTGGTCTCCTACTTATTGACAATTGTTTTCTCTTTCTTTTGCCTCTGTGGTTCCTGTCCTGTTCAATTTGCTTCTACTACAGTAGCCTCTCATCAGGGCAGGGCTCTCTGCCCTGGAGGAGGGTGTTGGTTTATTCATTTTGAGAGTTCTAGGACCCAGAACTCTTTAGCACCATGTCTTCTCTTGGTTACCTTTCACTCACCCATAAGCTGGAGACTGCCTAACACAATCTGTAACACTCATCTGAGTGAAGGTTTTCACATTGATCTCTTCCCTCTGAGACCTGTGGGGGATGTGGAAGTTCTTCAGACCCATTGCCTCCCCTTTCCTTCCTCCTATATGACGGCTGATAACCCAAGTTCTGATGTGTAGTATTTTCACTGCACTTGGTTTGAAACACTTTCTAATCTCTGTTGTAATGTCTTCTTTGTTCTGTGAGCTGTTTAATAGTGTTTTTCTTGGTTTCCAAATATGTGGGGATTTTCTAAGTCATTTGTATGATTTCAGTTCTTTGAAACTTGTGAGGCTTGCTTTAAGGTCCAGAATATGATCTGTTTATATAAATATTCTATGTGTTCTTGAACGTGTATTCGACTGCATGATTTCTGAGTACATCACTTTGTATGTGTCAGTTCAGTCATTTTATTACAGTGGTGTCATTCAAATCATCTACAGCCTTACAGATTTTTATCCTACTTATTCTATAAGTTTCTGACCTGCCTCCCAGCCTAAAAGTTTCTACCATGTATATTTGTCTCTTTGTTTTTGTTCTGCCAATTTTTGCTTTGCATTTTTAAACTAAGTGTACATGCATTCAGATTCTTATGTCTTCATGTTGAATTGAGATTTATAATAATAATGTATCCCTATTATCTCAAATAATATCTGTCTTCTTAAAATCTACTTTGTCTGAAATGAATATAGTTATAAATGTTAGTTAGCATTTGCATGATTTTTTTTATTGTTTTATCCCAATGTCTTTTAATCTATTTTCTATATGTTCTATAGTTTTCCCCCTCTGTACTTAGATTTGGATATTTTGGGGTTTTTTTAATATTTTTTTTAACGTTTATTTATTTTTGAGACAGAGAGAGACAGAGCATGAACGGGGGAGGGTCAGAGAGAGGGAGACAAAGAATCTGAAACAGGCTCCAGGCTCTGAGCTGTCAGCACAGAGCCCGACGTGGGGCTCGAACTCACGGACCGTGAGATCATGACCTGAGCCAAAGTTGGCCGCTTAACCGACTGAGCCACCCAGGCGCCCCAGATTTGGATATTTTGTATTGAATTAATCTTTTTTAAAAATTTGTGTCCAACCTGTTGCTAATTTACTATTAGCATTGAGCTCCCAATTCCATGTATTATAGTTGCCAGTTCTCTGGTGAAATTCTTAATCTTGTTTTTTATACCCTTCAATGTACTGTGATCTGACAGTTTCAAAATCTGGAGATCCCATGGGTCTTTCTTCATTGTGCTTTATCTTGGGCTTTGTTTATGCTGTCTTACTGCCTTGTTTGCTTGGCTATTTTAAATTTAGCATTTGGGGAATGTGTTAAAAATTATTAAAAATAATTTTTAGAAATAATCTGAGGCCCAGGATATCATCTTAATCCAGTTTGATTAACAGTAAGGACTTGAAGCTTGGGCCACTGGGCTCATCAAGGCTGACCCATTTCTCGTTTTACTTCCAGAGCAAGGACCCATCTCCAAGTGTGATTCACCAGCATACCCAACCCCCAGTCACACTAGGGTGTCAAAAGCATTGTGTGGCTTCTTGGCCACTTCTTCCAGGACCAGCAAACATCTTTCTCTCTCTAGGCTCCTCTTTCTCTAGGCCTGTATTTCTTCCCAGCTTGTGATGTCTTTAAGCAGATGTTTTCTATTTGTCTGGATTTTCTAGTGGTCTGTAGGAAGTTTGGTCTGAATTATTTAGTTTCCTGTTGTGGGGATGTCTGAGTTACATTTTGACAGGTAATTTTGTTAAATATGTAAGGGTGGGGGGGGAGGCAGAGGCAGGGGACCAAGTAAGAGATGTCGCAATAGCCCAGGTGAGAGATGCTGGTAGCTTGGATCTGGGGATGAAAGAAAGTGAACAATCATGAAGGACTCTAGCATTCATGGCCAGCACAAAGGTGTGAATGGTTGTGTCCTTTCGAAGATAGTGAAGGTAGGAAGGGAGCCATTTGGCGGGACAAGAGGTGGTGGGAAAATACAGTTTAGGTCATGTTAAGAGTGAAATGCCTCAAATAAAAACTTAAGAAACAAACAAAACAAACAAAAAAGTGTGAAATGCCTCTTAGACACCCAGAGGAGGTATCTTGTGGATGACTGTGGATGTGACTGGAGTTTAGGGGAGAGGACTGAGCTGGAGATAAAATTTAAGCATCATCAGGGTGGAGGTTGCGATTTAAGCTCTGAGCCTAGATCAGCTCGTCTGGGAGGAGATATAGTGCACAAGGATGGAGGACTGAGCCTGATGCCTTCAGCAATGTGAGGTCAGGGAGGTGGGGGGAAAACCAGAGCATGGTGGTGATGGTGGTGGTGGTGGGAAGGTGTCTTCTGGAAGGTGGGTATAGAAAGCACGTCCAGAGTCAGGAAGCAATGAGTCAGGTGAGATGAGGCTTTTATAATGGGAATTTAAAAAAAAAAAAAAAAAAAGATTTTACAGTTTGTCTTTTGTTTTTGCTTATGGTGTTTTCTTCTTACTAAGCGTTTGTGTTTCTCTGTGTCTGGATGTGACTGTATTTTATGTGTCCCTTTCCCATTCCAAGATTGCAGATGTCCATGTGGTAGCCATGTGTGCCCATGTGTGAGCCCAGAGAAAGGACTCAGAGAAGGGTGTGAGCCCAGAGTGGAGTGGTCAGGCTGAGATGCCTGAGCTGAGGGAGGGTGCTGGGGTCAGAGGTCCAATGTGGTGGAGGAGGGGAACCAGGTCAACTCCCTCTTTGGGCCTTGGTTTCCCCATCTGTAACTGGTTTAAATGCTTGCTTCCTTGAAGTACTGGAGAGGATTCCTGGGTGTTCAGGAAGAGGCAGCCCCCAGTGAACTATACAGGGCTGTACCCTAAGGACAAGGTCATTTCCTTGACACAGGCCAGTCTGACCAGCACCTTGGAGCTTAAGGGCCCACCCCTGGGTGGCCATGGACAGATGTGGAGACTAAGGCCAGAGAGCATTCCCATAGACACTGGGGCCCTAGGAGGGGGCTGGGGAACCCAAGTCCCTGGTGGCAGGGCAAGAACCTGGGGTCACCTGAAAAAGTTCAGTCTTAAAGGGGTTGGGGCCTATGTGACCCCAGCGAGATGGGGAGGGGGGGCTGCCCAGGCTGGGCTCCTGGACTGCTGGGAGGGACTGGAGGTCTGGCTCAGGCAAATGAGCCAGGGCTGCTGGAAGGGCCTAGGGAATCATGACAGCAAAATCTTCTTACAAACCGAGAAGTTCCTTATATATGTCAAGGGGCATTGTAAATGGTATGACAATTTGCCATCTGTAGAGGGCTGTGGACCTGTGAGCAGCTGGACTTGAGGGGGCAGCTGACCTAACCCAGGGTTTGGTGGCAGCAGAAGGTCACCTACCCGTCACCATTCCCTAGTAAATGCCAACCGAGTAAGCCCATGTTGGGAGGCTGGGGCAGGGGAGCCAGGCCTCTTACTGTATGCCGTGTCCCCCAGAGCCATCCTCCAGCAACATGGCTCACCTGTGGATGCCGCCATTGCGGCTCTGGTCTGCACCGGAGTCGTCAACCCTCAGAGCATGGGGTTGGGCGGAGGGGTCATCTTCACCATCTATAACGCCACCACAGGTGAGTCCACATGGGAACCCCGTGGGGAGGATGGGCTTGTCCACAAGTGCTAACAGTGAGGTGCTTATAAACATCCCCAGCGTTTGCTGAGCTGTCCTGCCCACCCATGCCCCTTCTTGGGTCCTCTTGGTGCCCCTGCCCTTCCCCCCAGCTTGTCTTTGTGAAAACTTCACGGCCATCTCAAATCTTAGCACTGTCAAGGAGGAGGAATTTCCTTTGCCCTTCAAGGTCCTGCTGGCCGGATTAAGAATTAAATTGACCTGAGAGAAATTAATAGGACAAAATCAAATTTAATTTCTGGGGAATTCACACAGACATGGAAATTCCAAAGGCAGGCAAAAAGAGCTAAGGAGAAGGGGTAAGGCTCTGGGACTTCAAAAGGAAGGAGTGCAATTCATAGGAAGATAAAGAAGCGTAAATATTTGCTAAACAAATGTGTGTGGGGAGGGGGGAGGTCCTGGGAAACAATGAGACACAGAAGACTTTGACCAAACAGGCCTTGCAAGGTCCAGTCTACCTACCCTACCTCATTCATATCCTAATATAGTTGTCTGTGGTGATAGCTGTCCTCCTGGAGCCGGCCCTCTGTGTAAATTCTTTCAGGCAGTAGTGGAGTGGGTGGGGGAGGTAAAAAGCTTTTCCTGATTCTGCTGGGTTTTAATTTGCTTTTAACTCACAAATAATCTTCATGCCAAAGTGGCCCATCTTTGGGAAGCCTGCTCTTGGCCCCTACAGCACAGAGGCTAGTTCATGGTACAAAGAGAGAAAGTGAGGCCTAGAGTAGGGCCAGGGCTGTGGCAGGGCGGGGGGCTGGGGGGGTGGTTTGTGTGGGATGAGGCCTGGCAGCTCACTGAGTGCCCCTGAGCACTCACATGCTCTGCCCCAACTCTAGGGAAGGTGGAAGTCATCAATGCCAGGGAGACGGTGCCTGCCAGCTATGTCCCCGGTCTGCTGGACCAGTGTGAGCAGGCCCAGCCACTGGGCACAGGTGAAGCCCTTGGAGGGACCACAGGCTCCCACCCCATCAGGCCACTGGGGCTGACCAAAACACTCCCCTGAAGGGGCGTCTTGGACAGGCTCTGACACCCTGGTACCAGGAGATAGCAGCTAGCTATGGAGGTCCTGACCTGCCCCCATGGAGGTCCTGACCTGCTGGAGTTGGGGGAGGGGCTCTCTGAGTAGGGGGTGGTGATCTAAGCATAGGAACCAGCCTAGCAAAGGCTTGGAGGGTTCAGTGGAGATGGGGTGGTGGGTGGGGTGGGGGTTCCGGGAGCCAGTTTGTGCTGGGCCCTGAGGGAAGGCAGTGGGGAGCCATGGGGGTTTGAGCAGAGAGGGTCACGGTCAGGTGTGGGCTCCAGAAAGCTCATTCTGGCTGCCACGCCAAGAGGGCCAAGCTGGAGGGGCAAGGGTGGGGGTGGTGGAGAACCCCTGGGGCAGGCTACAGGGCTGAGGCCAAGGTGGGGGCAGCCTGGGGGCAGGGACACGCTGCCACTTGCCTCCTAGGGGCCCAGTGGATTGGAGTGCCCGGGGAACTCCGTGGCTATGCTGAGGCCCACCGTCGCCACGGCCACCTGCCATGGGCACAGCTGTTTTGGCCCACCATCTCCCTGCTCCGAGGGGACTACCGCATGCCCTTTACCCTCAGTCAGTTCCTGCAGAGTGACTTCCTACGGCCTTCCCTGTACATGACTTCTCTGAGGTGAGCACTTCCCCAGGGAGCCCCAGGGCTCCTGCTCATCTCCTGGGTTCAGGCTCTGGCCTGTCTTTGCCTGGCTCCTACCCCGGTTCTACCTCAGAGCCTCCTCAAACTGGAGGGTTGACCCTATGGTGGTATTGGGGGCCTGAAGGCCAGGAAGGCCAGTACTTTGCGGTTTCAGACTTTCAGGCTCCATGTGGCAGAACCTAATCCGAGTGGCTCAGGCCATATCCACGTGATGGGACTCCAGGGTGTGGATTTGGGCTCTGCCACCGTCCTCTGGCCCCTCTGGGCTGGCAGGAGGGCTTTGGCCACCCCCCTTGCCCACCCTGCCAGTCCGCTGACCATGTCTTCCCAGGGGTGTCCCAGGCCCTGCTAGGGCGCATACACTCCTTAGGCCAGGGTGACGGGTGAGGTGAGAGGCCTCAGCCCCACCCAGTCTTAAGAAACCATCTCCCCTGATGTCTACACCAGGCCCTCGGACCCTAGACCAGGACTGCCTCCCTGTAGGGTCTCAAAGAACCCACAAGAGCCCCCACAGGAGTGTGGCTGCCTTCCAGGACCCGGCCCCACCCTGAGTCTGCCCCCAATTCCCCAGGCAGCTCTTTTTCAATGGGACAGAACCTCTGAAGGCTCAGGACCCATTCCCATGGCCCGCGTTGGCTGCCACCCTGGAAACCGTGGCCACAGAAGGTGCAGAGGTCTTCTACACAGGGACGCTGGGCCGGACGCTGCTGGAGGACATTGCCAATCAAGGTCAGCTGTGCTGAGTTCCCAGAGCCCACAGCTCTGCCTGAGAAGGAGCTGGCTCTGGATGCTAGGAGTGAAGGCAGGCCCTTCCCTAATCCTTGCCGGAGTGTGGACCGCTCCCAGGACTTGCAGAGGCCATGTATCCAGGCCTGCCCGCTGCTGGCCTCCAGGACCCCGTGGTCAGAGTCCTTGAGGAGCAGAGCTCCCAGAAATTAGGGCCAACAGAGGGGAGTTAGTGGTGGCCACAGTGGGCTCCTGGGCCTGGAGCTGTCCACCACCTTCACAGTCTGTCAGAGGCCACCCTGCCTCTCTCACCTTCCCTTCTTCTTCCCACCAACCTGCCTGCCTTCGGCCTCTGTCCACCCATCCCTTGCCTGGCTCTAGGGCCCAGCCCTGACGCCGCTGCCCACAGACCTTCCATCACCCCTAGGGCTCTAGAAGCCTAGGGGATGGGGGAAGCCCCACCATGTGACCTAGGATCCGTGGCTGTCACTCTGCCTCAGTTTTCCCATCTGCACATGGAGTCTTTTCTGTCTCATCTCAGGTAGCCAGCTGACCCTGCAGGACCTGGCAGAGTTCCAGCCAGAGGTAGTGGATGCCCTGGCAGTGCCCCTGGAGGACTACACCCTATACTCACCGCCACCACCCGCAGGGGGTGCGATTCTCAGCTTCATCCTCAACGTGCTCAAAGGTAAGAAAGACTCTCAGCCCTCCCACCCAGAGTCCTGCCCGCATTGGGAACTCCAAGCCCAGCGGTAGCTCGGGGCAGCCTTCCTTTTCCAGCTCAGCCTCCTCCTCAGACACCAAAGATGGGGCTGTGGAAACAGGCAAGATGCTGTGCTCTAGAGCCTCTGGAGCAGTCCACACTCAGGGCTTTGCTGAAGGGTCTGACACCATCCACCCAGTGAGTCCTCCCCTGCAGGCGATCCGGTCCCGGGGCACAGGAGCAGGTGGGCGGTGCAGGTGGTGAGCTGCCTGGCCCGTGTGTGCATCCAGGGCTGAGGCCTGGACTGTGAGATGGTGAAAGGGGGTCCTTGCAGTGTCCAGGGTTGGAGCTGCCCGAGGCTGACTATCTCAGTTCCCTTGGCTGCCATAACAGATTACCGCAAACTTGTGGCTTAAAGCAACAGAAATCCACTCTCTCATAGTTCTGGAGGCCAGATGTCCAAAATCAAGGTGTCAGCTGAGCCATGGCTCCTCTGGGGACTCTGAGAGACAATCTGTTCTTTGTCTCCTCCAGCTTTTGGTGGCTGTCAGCACTCCCAGGCTGCGGCGACATCTTCCCAGCCTCTGCCTCCCGCTCACAGGGCCTCCTCCTCTTCTCTGTGTCTGTTTTATAAGATTACATTTAATTGTGTGATTACATTTAGAGCTCACCCGGATAATCCAGGATAATTTGCTCTTTTCAAGATCCTTAACTTAATCACACATTTTGCCATATAAGGTAAAATTCACTCTTTTGCCATATAAGGTACTATTCACAGGTTCTGGGGATCAGGACATGGACAAATCTTTTTTGAGGGGGGCCAACATTCCACCCGCTACACGGGGTCATCCATATCTGCACCCCTCCCCTTCCCAGGGTTCAACTTCTCCTCTGAATCGGTGGCCAGGCCCGAGGGGAGCGTGAACCTGTACCATCACCTTGTGGAAACGCTCAAATTTGCCGGGGGACAGAGGTGGCGACTGTGGGACCCTCGTAGCCACCCGGATATCCAGGTGAGATGGCCTGTGGCTGGTGGAGAGCCCCCGTCCCAGCCCCAGGGCTCAGCGTGAAGGGAAGGCCAGGCTGTTCCTGGACCCCAAGAGTCTGGCTGGGTGAGATTGGAGGGAGATGTATGAGGTTTTAGGACAGGACAGCCTGGCAGTGGCCCAGGGCAGGGAGGGTGAGGAGGTCTGCGGACTAGAAGGGGCCCAGAGTGGCAGGTGTGAGAGACGCAGTGATGGCTCCATATCTCAGAGGGCCCGGAGGATGAGCAGCATCTGGTGGTAGCCTGGGCTCAAGGGGGGTGCACGGGAGAGGGCCTCCAAAGGAGACCCTCTTCTCTGTGTGCCTACCTGGCACCTTACTGTTCCTACCATCTGCCCGGCCACCCCAGAACGCCTCCCAGGACCTGCTGGGAGAGGCTTTGGCCCAGCACATCCAGCAGCAGATCGACGCGCGGGGTGACCACCATCTCAGCCACTACAGCCTGGCCGGGGCCTGGGGCCACGGGATGGGCACAGCGCACGTTTCTGTGCTGGGGGAGGATGGCAGTGCTGTGGCAGCCACGAGCACCATCAACACGCCGTATGTTCCTGCCTGTTCCCAGGCCCTGCTCCTTTGCTCCCTCAGCTTGTTTTACGGGCCCCCTAGTCTCCCCTTGCTTGCGTCCATGGGGCAGTACCTTGCTTTTCCCTTTGCTTCTTCTCTGTCAGAGGGGCCACACACCTCTGTCATTTCTGGCTGAAAGGCTGCAGATGGGTGGCCCTGAACCACGACCCGCTTGGGAATGAGCTTTACCCAGAAGGATGCCCTAACTGGGGGGCACAGGTGGATCCTTGGGGGGCAGTGCCAGGGAGAGAATGGCAGCTCCAGCATGCTAGAAGGCTGCCACTAAAATGAGGGACTCCTGGAAAGCGGTGCTCGACAGCTTTGCTGGTGTGGGAGACTGGCGCCCACAGCCCGAGCCCAGGCTCTGCCTCTGTCTGCAGCTTTGGAGCAATGCTGTACTCGCCACGCACGGGCATCCTCCTCAACAATGAGCTTCTGGACCTATGCTGGAGGCGCTCCCCGGACTCCAGAGTCACCCCACTACCTGGTGAGACTGAGGACCCCACTGGCAAGAAAAGGGAAGGCAGGCAGGCTGGGCGATGCAGTTTGGCCCCTGGGCCAGCCCCGCTGCCTCGCCCAGCCCCTGTTTGCACAGCGGTGAATGGAGACAGAAATGGAGGGGTGGTCTGGAGGGTGCTGGCTGGAAGTGCGGCTGCGGGTGACACCCATCTGGCCTCTAGTTCCAGGCGAGCGACCTCCATCATCCATGGTCCCCTCCATCTTGATCAATGCAGCTCAGAGGTCAAAGCTGGTGATCGGTGGGGCTGGTGGGGAGCTCATCATCCCTGCTGTGGCTCAGGTGAGTCGGGGAACTCCTGGCTGGAACATCCCCCCTCCCAGGGACAGGGAGGGGTTGGTGTAGGGTGGCTGGTGTCCTCCCTTCCTGTGTTCTTCTTCCCTCCCCCAGGCCATCATAAACAAGCTATGGCTTGGCTTTGACCTGAGGACTGCCATTGAAGCCCCTATCCTGCATGTCAACAGCGAGGGCCGTGTGGAATATGAGCCCAACTTCAGCCGGGTAAGGCCACTGTCCCTGACACTGCTAGGACAGATGCCTCAGTGCATGCTGCTCAAAGCCCCTGGTAGGATCTCAGTCGCTGAGTGTCTTAGGATGGGTACACTTCCACTTCCGGGGCCATCGCGGGTTCAGAAGCTCAGTGGGGGAGGCACCAGGCCAGTCTTGTGGCCCCCAAGTCAGAAAATAGGGTTTTGTCCATACTTCTCCCAGGCCAAGTACCTCTGCACCTTGGTTCCTGCTCTATTCTGTTCTCTCCAGAAGCTAGTTTTCCTGGCTGTGGTCTCTCAGACTCCCTCATGGTGATCTGTTTCCTTGTGTGATTTATAGCTTTCATGTGTGAGTTTATTTGTAAGGGTATCATTCCTGTGACAGTCTGCATAGGGATTTCTTTCTGGGGCATGGGGGTCGCGCTGGTGCTGGTTCTTATGGATGTTTCTTGGTTTCCCCCACACAAGCAGGTGCTCAGAGCTAAATTCTGTTGTCCAACTCCCTGCCCCCACTCCTCTGCCCCAACCTTCCTCAGAGTTTTGCTGGGCTGGCAGAAGCCTTCCCTTCACTAAGATCTCATTTAAAAGTCTGGCAGCTTTTCAAGCCTCCAAGTTTCATGCCTGGGGTCAGTTCAGCCAGCTGGGGTTAAAGGTCCTCAAAGCTGCCATTTCTGCTGTGAGCTGCCTCCCATGGCCCTTAGAACACTGAGGACCATAGACAGAGGAACATTTACTCCAAGGGAATATATAGTCCCTGAGGACCTTGGTCTTGGGGGCTGGAGACTAAGGACTCTCAGAGTCCGAGGAGCTCCCTCCCTGTATAGGGTCCTCCCCATGGCAGAAGGACAGTGAGTATGCCCTCAGGGCTCATCTTCTTGGGCCCTCCTCTTTGACCCTTAACTGAGGTTTTCACTCTGTGAACATCAACTCCCTGAGGACCTTGTGCTCTGAGATCTCAGAGAATCCAGCAACCCATAGGCCAAGATCCTCAGCTCTCTTGGAGAGGTTGAGTGTTGGCTATACATCCAGGGCCTTCTATGGAGAAAATCCTAGACCCTGGGTGGAAACCTTGAGTCTCCAAGGGTTATCATAGCCAAGGCCAGGGACTAAAGGCCAGAAGGGTCCTCCTTCCTGAGGGCCTTGGAGTTTGGCCACTAGATGCTAAGGAACAGAGTCCCTGATGACCACAGGTCCTGTTGTGGCCTCAGCTATGAGGACCTCAGCCTTCAAATCTAAGGACCTTGGGCAATTGGTGCATCAGGCAGAGAAACATAACCCAAGGACATGGTGCTCTGGAGACCTCGCCCTACCACTGTGACATCAGGTTGGAGGCCCCAGTCTTGGGGACTGTAGAACATCAAGGTCTTTGTAAATAGAAGTGACTGGCACCTAGGGTCAGTGGGCTAAGGTCCTTAGTCTGTTGATCCAAAATGTTAAGTGGAAATGTGGGGCCTGAGTAGCACAGGCCTCTACACTCCAGGATCTGTGTAAAAGTTACAGACTGGTAAATGTGTAAGCGCCATAACCCTAAGGCAAGGTACTCAGTTCTTAGAAACCTACACCTGCCTGGATTTCTGACACCCTCAAATTCCATAGTCTCACTGTCTCAGACCTGAGCCACATGCTCTGAGCACCTTACCCTCAGGACCACTGGTGCCTTTAGCCTGGGGGTCAGTGTCCTTGGTCTCATGGATCTTCAGAGAAAACGGTATCTGAAAATTTGAGTCCTTCCTCCAGCTGATTCCTCAACCATTGGGGCCCTAAGCTTTCAGGGCCCGAGGTCCTAAGAAGTTTACCATGTTCTTGGCAACCAGGATCTCTGGTCTTCTCATGTCAGTGTTGAGATGGAAGGTCCTATGTAGCCTGACTGCTGGTGCCAAGATCTTTCCTCTTCCATGCCCCAGGGCCCCTGGGCACTCCCCACCCCTCAGTTGGGCAGTTCCTATGTATGGAGGAGCTGGGACTCTGAGAAAGGTCCCAAGCTCTGCCTTAAGAAGGCTTTGCTCTCAAAGTCCTCAAAATTAGAGGTCTCGCAGTGTAAGTCCCCATAAGCCATTTCTCTGCCAAAGCCGCTGGATTCCTCAGATGTTGCAGCTAGGCCCCTGGTATCCTCAGATCCAGGACAGAAGTGATCTTGCATCTCTAGCTCCTTCTGGCCTGGGTGACATCCTCCCCACCATGCTCCCTGGAGCCTGGCTTCTCCACTGGGACCTTTGGTGGGAGGTCACAGGCTCCTCGCCCTACAGATGAGGCTGCATTAGCACCCTCCCATCCTCACCGCCACTGGTGCCCAGTCCTGCCTTCCCCGTTGGGGCTGTCAGACCTCTACCCGGGGCCCTGCCCCCTCTGCAGGTGTTGCGAAGCTGCCTTCACCTGTGCACTGGCCTTCTCTCCTCTCCAGGAGGTGCAGAAGGGGCTCCAGGACAGGGGCCACAACCAGACCATGAGGCCCTTTTTCCTGAACGTGGTCCAGGCCGTGTCCCAGGACGGGGCCTGTGTGTATGCCGCAGCAGACCCAAGGAAAGGTGGGGAGGCCTCGGGCTACTGAGGAGACTGCTTCTGGCAGCTGCAATCCGGCCCACCGTCAGTGTGTGCTCAGGCTGGCCTTGGCTGTGGGACCCAGCACCCAAGCAAGATCTGGACCCTTCGGCGGAGGGTCAGCCTGGGCTGCAAGAGGTGGGGACAGGCTGGAAGATGGACGACTGTGGGGACTGAGCCCTCCCCAGAGTCTCATGTGGCCCTGCCCTGGCCCCCCAAGCTTCCCCTAGACCTCTTACTCAGGACCGTGGCCCACTCTCCCTCCCCACCTGCCCCACTCCCCATCTGTATACCCTCTAGTCCAAGATTAAAGAGGAGGGTGGACCTCGGCATGATTTGGGGTGTAGGTATGGGAAGGGACCCTTAGCACACACACAGCTCTTACAGTCCTTCACCACACACCACCGTGAAGGTGTGGAAACCGAGGCCTAGAGACTGGCTGGCCCTGCCCAGTACACCACTGCTGGGCCTCTGCAGTGTGCCTGCCTGGGGCCTATCAGTGGGAAGGCAGGGCTGTGGCCTGGGGGCGTCTGCCCCCCAGGCTTGCCAGGCCTTAGGACCATCTCTGGATCTTGTCCCGTGTGCCAGGAAAAGGCTGGATGAAGTAGAACTTGGGACCCCACCTCAGCCCCCAGCCCCACCCATTGGCCCCATTCTCACCCTCGGCACTGTTGACATTTTTGGTGAAATAGTCTTTGTCGGGGGGGCTGTCCCCACATTGTGGGATATTGAGCAGCATCCCTGGCTTTTGCTCGCTAAACTCAGCAGCACCCGCTACCACCACCACTGGCCAAATCATCCCCAGTTAAGAACTGCTGTTCTGGACCCATTAGCCCCCCACTGCTGAGAAGGGCTTTGCCAGCTGCTGGGTGGGCTGCCTGTCCTGGAGGGGCCTCGCTGGACTGACCTGGGGGGTCTTACCCCACACCGGTTCCTGGGAGCCCTTGAGTGTCGCCCAAATGTCCCTCAGGGGCATACCTCCACCTGGCAGGTTCTGGGGATCAGCTCTACCGCTGAGCCACGGCCTCCCACCCTGCTCTGGAGTTTGGCCAAGCAGGGCAGGAGTAGGTACAGTTTCCATGGCTGCTGAGATAAAATACCACGAAGTGCCTTCCAACTACAGAAATCTATGCTCCCATAGGCTAGGAGTCTGAAATCAGATGATGGGGCCGAAAGCAAGGGGAAGCCAGGGACGAGTTCCCTCAGGGGACTCTCAGGAGAACCCTTCCCACCTCTGCCCACTTCTGGTAGCTGCTGGTGTCCCTTGGTGGCCACATCACTCTAGGTGCTCCGTCTGTGGGGAGGTCATGTGGCCTTCTACTCTTTATGTGTGGAAGTCTCCCTCTGCTTTGGGCAGGGCTGGGTGGAGAAGGCACCCTCGGGAAGTGTGTAAAGACACTTGTGGGCATATAGGGCCCATCCAGATACTCCAGGATGCTCTCTTGTCTCAAGATCCTTAACTCAGTCACAAAGGCACTTTTGCCATATAACGTGCTAGGGATCGGGATGGGGACTGTTGGTTGACCACAAACGGGGAGAGAGGGCTGGATGGGGCAAGTCTCTGATCTGAGCCTGACTGGGAGGACAGAGGGGGGTATTCTGGCAGACTCTAAGAGAAAGGACCTCGGGGCCGTTCACTGCTGCACCTAGGCAGCCTGGGGGCCGCAACTCCTCCTAGAGTCTGACTTTGGGAGGGAGTGGGAAGAAGGCTTTAGGGAAGGGCAGCTATGGCTCAGGAGTCAGGGGTGCAGAAAAAGTGGGCTCAGACAAGCAGGAGTGAGGCCGTTTCTGACCTAGTGGGATCCAGAGGCTGGCCTTGGCCACCATCCTGGTGGCTCTAGCACATCATTCACTGAACTTCACAGCCAGAAAGGATGACAGAACTTCTCTTCTCTATACTGCTTTTGAGGCTTAACAAAAGTCCCAGGCCCGGCTCTCATGGGCCCAATGGGTCTCTCCCTGAGGCTCAGTTACCACACATGAGTGATGGGTCCCCATCCCAGCTCTGTCTCAGGTTTCTGGGTCATCAGACCCCATACCCACACACCAGCCAGGGCCACAGGCACCTCGGACTCAACACACCAAACTGGAAGCCAGCTCTGAGGCAACCGGAAGCTCTCTGTTGTCTACCTCTCCCCCTCCAGTCACCCGGTTTCCTCTCTCCGACTGCGTGGCTCAGCCCTGCCTCCATTTCCTTATCCTTCTCCACCTCCTTGTTGCTGCCACTGCCTCGATCTGCTCCCCACTCAGACAATGATGGGCTTTGGAAGATGCATACCTGATCTTGCCACGAGGCAGCATGGATTCCTCCTTGTTCCTGCTGCTCCTGGAGGAAGCCTGCTCTTCTCCCTCCTTGCTCCTCCCACCCTCAGGGACTTGCCCAGCCCCTGGTCACATCCCACCCACCAGTAATGCCGGGTAGCCACCCCCTTCCCGGCCCATCAAGGGACTCTTACTGCTGGCTCTTTACACATCTTGTTACACAGGGGAAATCAAAACCAGGGTTGGGGTCCCTGGGTGGCTCAGTCGGCTAAGCGTCCGTCTCTTGATTTCGGCTCAGGTCGTGATCTCACAGTTTCGTGAGTTCAACCCTACGGGGGCTCTGCTCTGCCAGCACAGAGTCTGCTTGGGATTCTCCCTCTCTCTCTGCCCCTCCCCTGCTCACGCTTGCTCTGTCTCTCTCAAAATAAATAAATAAACATTAAAAAAAAAAACAAAAAAAAACCAGGGCTGCAGTATCTTCAAAATAACATTGGCAGAGTACAGATGAGCCCCTAGAGCCTATAGCTAATGCAGGATCAAAGGAAAATTCATTGCCTTAAACAGTTGCATTAATAATAAGAATCAAAATGAATAAAGCATCTAAGTGAAATTTAGTGCAGGAACAATCAGAACAATCAGGAAAGCAAGAGGAGAGGTTCAGTAACAACTGAAGGAGAGACTGATAAATTTGAAATCAGAAAAACAGGTCAGAAAATATTATTCAACTGCCTACAGTATAAATGAAAGAAGTGTGAATACACAAAAGAAGAAATGACAATGGGGAAATTAGCTAAGATATAGAGACAGTTAAAAGTATAAAAAACCTGGGGCGCCTGGGTGGGCCAGTCAGTTAAGCATCTGCCTTTGGCTCAGATCATGATCTTGTGGTTTGTGAGTTCAAGCCCTGAGTCAGGCTGTATGCTGACAGCTCAGAGCCTGGAGCCTGTTTCAGATTCTTGTCTCCCTCTCTCTGCCCCTCCTCAGCTCGTGCTCTGTCTCTCTCTAAAAAATAAATAAACATTAAGACATTTTTTTTAAAAAGTATAAAAGATCACTCACCTTCGTCCAAATAAAGCTGGCAACTTTGATAAAATAATGTCTTTACTTTCTAGGACAACGTAAGTAGGGTTGCCATATGTGGGACATACTCATACTGAAAATATTGTTGCTTATCTGAAATTCAGATTTAATTGAACCTCCTATACTTTTATCTAAATCTGGCAACCTTAAACATAAATGACAAACAGATCCAAGAAGGGGCAAAGATCTAGATGTGTCAATGATCATTGAAAAAAGTAAGAACATTGCAGGAACACTAGCCTACCTCAAACACCCTTCTAGAAACTTCCTCAGGTGAAGTGTGTCCTGCCACTAAGGCCAGAGACCTGTCCTGCCAGTTAAGCTTCCACAATGAGGAGCAAGAAGGAAAATGTCCACATTCACTTTATGATGCCAGCAAAGCACTGACCCCAAACCTGCCAAAGCAAGCCACAGGCCAATTGTGTTTATGAAACTCAATCCCAAGTTCCTAAAGAAAGTATTAGCAAGGAGAATCTAGCAACACATTAAAGCAATAACGTGTCCTGCCTATCTCAGTGGTGTCGACACCAGCACAGCCAGGAAGGTCTTCTCTTGGTGTGTTACTCTTACCTCTTATCTTTCACCCAGGGAGAAAAGTCACAGGCTTATTTATCTCCATAGAGACTGAAGGAGCATTGGACAAAATTCAACACCCATTCTTGATTAAAAAAAGACAAAGCGCTCCTGGGTGGCTCAGTGGTTAAGTGTCCAAGTTCAGTCAGGTCATGATCTTGTGGTTTGTGAGTTCAAACCCCATGTTGGGCTCTATGCTGACAGCTCAGAGCCTGCTTTGGTTTCTGTGTCTCCCTCTCGGCCCCTCCCCTGCTTGTGCTCTGTCTCTCTCTCTCTCAAAAATAAACATTAGAAATCAATTTTAAAAATTAAGTAAACAAATCCACCAAATTTTAAAACAAATTATAAGCATACAGCTGTTAAACATGCAGCTGTTAAGCATATGCTGTTAAAGCAGCATGTGAATAAAGCTAAGAAATCAACCACAATACAAACTCCACAGAGAGATGTAAATAAATACGGAAATCTTGTCTCTAGCAGACAAGGAGCATTTCAAAGCAGTAAGAAAAAGATTATTAGCCATACCTATCTGACCAAATGGGTAGCCATCTAGGCAAATAATGAAGGGGGACCCCTGCCTTTTTATTTACATCAAAATAAATTCCAGTCAGATCAAGATTTAAGAGTAAAACCATATAAATATAAAACAAAATACAAAAACAAAAACAAAGAAAACCACAGGGGCGCCCGAGTGACTCAGTCGGCTAGGTGTCTGACTTTGGCCCGGGTCATGATCTCGCAGTTCGTGGGTTCGAGGCCCACGTTGGGCTCTGTGCTGACAGCTCAGAGCCTGGAACCTGCTTCCGATTCTGTGTTTCCCTCTCTCTCTCTCTCTGCCCCTCCCCTGGTATTCTCTGTCTCTCTCTATCTCTCAAGAATAAATAAACATTAAAAAAAATTTTTTTTTTAACACAAAGAATACAGGGAAATTTATTTATACTCTTAGAGTGGGGAAAGCCTTTTCAGGCATGGCATAAAATCAAGAAGTTGTGAAAGAAAAAAAAAACAAAAAAAAAGATACATTTGAACACAGAAAAAGTAAAAATTTTGATGTGGAAAACATCTTAAAAGACCAACGGACAGTTGCAACACACG